TAATTTCTTAAATGCGTCCTTTGTATTCATAGAGTAGAATTCGAGACACTGGTTAAGTAGTCATATCCTTTTATTAAGATCCACCTCTCACTGGTATTAAACTTAATTTTCTAAATTTTGGAGATAACATTTTAAGTAATTATTAATACTCATATTTATATATAAGGACATACTATCTGATAATCATTTTAGTGACTAGGTTGTCCCTTAAAAATTGAATAATCTTCACATCAATGTACAAGAAGGGCCAAAGTTGTTGAAGGTGCCTACGATGCCTTTGCCCACTATGGTGCCAACCTCGTCAAAGAATTCTTCCGCATCTACGTTGTAGTGAGGAGAATTGAAACGGTTGCCGGAATGATGACCGCTGTTGTGGTTAACGTCTCTGAAATCTTGAGTGCCTGATCCGCTATTATTGAATGAGCCCTTAGTGCCACTATTGTAGCCTCCGGCGACTGCTCTGCTTGCCCCGCCCTCAACAGCCGCAAGAAACTTTCTCATCATCTTAAGATCATCCGAGTCCATTTGATCTCACTGGTTATCTGATGTGATTGCCCCGCCTCAAGCTTCGACTTTCTTTGTTCTTGGATGGCTTTGATCGATGGATCGATGTCTCATCTTGCTTGCTTCGCCTGCGTTTTATGGATGTGATAACCAGAATATGTACGGTTTTCTTCCTTCAAGGCGAAGCTTCATGGCATCTTTCTTTCTTTTCCTTATTTAATGGCCACATTTAATTTCAGATTCCATCTCTCTAATCGCTCCCCAACTGCATGTGGTTGTTAGTTATCATAGTTAAACGATCTGATCATTAGCTAGGTTGATTGAATATGTATGTTACTGTAGTCTGTGGAAAATTATCGGCCAAGGATGAGACGCGTTTTGCTGTATGTTCCTTTCTTTCTTTTCACTTCGATACTTTCTTATTTTGACAAGAGAGAGGTCTGGAAAGAGAAAGAATCAAACAGACAAGGAGACGACATAAACATTTTTGACGGTGGCACGTGTAACTCTATAAGATAATGGTTCATGACCAGATTAATAAGTTGTCTTTTATTCCGCAAAAAGTAGATTCGTCCTCATATGCAATTGAGAGGCTGCTAACGCAGAGGGTGACATATAGCTATGACGACGTCCGTCACACTCACAGAAATTACATTGCAAGAAGTGTAAGGTTTTAATTTGGTGTAAATTAGGCCCAAATTAATTTCTTTTCATTTATTAGCACCGAGAATGAACAAATCTTTGTAATATCAAATTATTGGTTTTGGTTTTGTTTCATCTTTTCTATGTACTTTAATTCTGATTTTAGCCATTATACCTAAACTCGTATCAAGTTCTTATGAAAATATAAGAATTAAAGTCAAAATTTTCAACCAAAATAATAATACTAACATATAAGTCTTTATTATCCACACTTCAATCATGATAGTTTATTTTTATTGGTTTCTTGTCCTTAAGAGCATATGATGCCTTATTTCTTTCTAAATTTAGAATGACAACTAAAAGAAGTTAGGTAGGGTCAAATGATGATAAAGCAAGGGTGTATTTCTACAGGAGATCAGGTGTGAAGGACTTAGGAAAAGTTGATGATGTAATAATATGGATGGAGGATTATTCTTTCTTCTGCATCCATTTGTATGCTTAATTAGGCATGTTGAATGGACAATATATCTCTTGCCTTCACTTTGAATATAATAAAAGAAAATTCTCCTGTTGATGTTCATCCAAATCTACAGGACCGATTCTCATGATAAAGAGTTTGTATAGCAGATGATGTTGATTTTTTTTTTTTTTTGAGCCGGAGAGAGGACTGTGAGGAAAAAGCAGAAAACGACGTCGTGGGGAGAGAACTGAAAAGAAATGGATCGAAGGAGAACTGGAGAGACCTCTCGCCAAAATATTGCAAGAGGTGAAGTCAAAGAAGGTCATAGTTTCCTTACGAGTATTAATCAATGATCAATAAATCGGTAAAAAATTTTAAAAAATCACATTATTGACATTAAAAAAAAATCAGATCACAAGCTAAGGCATATTTCTGATATTCTTTGGACAGTTGATTGGGAGTGTTGCGGCCCAAAATAAACAACGGATTAATGGAACTGTCCCATTATTATACAATTTTCTTCATACTTATCAGAATTTTGTGTCCCCGAATTTTGACCCCCCACCATCACGATACATATATTCCTTCACCCTTGCAATTAGTTACATAAAACACGTTTTTTTGGTGAAAAAAAGAAAAATAATTACACAGCAACAAAGTTTTAAGAAAATTAAGTAAAAATTGATATTCCAAATTTTATTTAATAATAAAACGTTCAAATTAATTAATACTTACAAATTTAATTTATAGATGATACAACTCAATTTGTAAATATAAAAGTTTTGTCGCTGGCAAAAAAACAAATATAGAAGTTTTGTTTCTAAATATTATATTGCTAAGACTGGCTTGTAAATAACGCAACTTGATTGGTAAATATTAAATTTCTTGAGATCTGTTAGTATTAAATGAAATTTAGAAAACTTTTTTGTATCTTTTTTTTTATAAATTTCAGACCCATGAGTAACCCTCTTTTTGTTTTAATTTGCTAGCATGCATGATGACCACGCCAGTGGATCCTGTCTGGCCATTTTCCTTTGAATGCTAACATCGGGTTTGGCCCAACTAAGAGTAAAGGCTTTGTAAGTTGAAGTCAGGCCTCATCAAAACTCTTGAGCACGGGTTCTTTCTCGTTCCCACCCCAAGCTTTGTGGCCCATTTCAATTTTTTTCCCATAAAATAACACATGCTCTCAAGTTAAAAAAAATTAATAAATGTTACACCAAAAATATTTAACATAAATGATATTTATTATATTTTCAAATTAAAATATAGGAATAATGCCTTATTTCTCAATCACATGCCCTTCGAATTTTTTTAATTTAAAAACTGGATGAATAAATTTATTTAATAAATTTAACACACTTTTTTTAAAATTAATTCGAAATTGAATGAAAATTTTGGAGCATAAGAAAAGATAAGGGAAGATTGATTAATTTTATGAACTCTATATTTTATTAGGGGCACATTGTTGTAATAACAAGGGAGGGTACATAACTTGAAACGAAGACAAACAGAGACGTCGTCCTCATAGTTATACGTCTCCGAAGCTCCACGAGCAGAGCTCAGTGCTGTGAAATGCTTATATATCACTCTTGAGAGGAATTGTGACATTAAACTCATTGTCAGCAGCAATCTGCCAGTTCCTGTGTCCGCCAAACCCAAACGGATATTTCTTCTGCTTGTTGGGATAAAACAGACCAAAATGTTTCTCCAGTTCTGGGTTCTTTTGGTTCTCATCGAACATTGCAAAAATATACGTCTCTGTAGGACCAGGCCTCATAGGAGTTCCTTTGTTCACATGGCGAATCAAATTGTCCAGGTAAGTCTTGGCATTATCGTACGTAGCCCCAAACGCTCCGTCAGAAGGCCACCCACTCTCCGACACGACCACCTTCACATACCCAATCCTCGTACTATCCAGAGCCGCATGAACCGAGTCCAACATGGCATCGAAGAGATTCTGGTATCCTCTCGAACCATCCCAGACCACCACGTTTGGAGAAGTGAAGAGAGCATAAGGCAGAGATATGTCGCCAGGGTTGCCGGAATAGCTGAAGTAAGGGTATACATTAACGAACAATGGTGCGTTTGCGTAGACCAAGTAGCCGATGATAGGGTCCAAGTATGATCTGACGTCGTTTCGGAAGCTACCTTTGGACGGAGGGTATGAGGTCCCAATAAGGGTCATGTCAATGGCGGTTGAGACCTTGATTTGGTCGTGAAGGCCCCTGCCCCTTATGGCTTGGTACACGTTCTGGATGGCCGGAAGGACGTACTGGGCGGCCCAAGAGGAGCCGCCGACGGGGCTGACTTCGTTGCCGACGGCGATGTATTTGATGTTGACGGAGGGGTAGTAGTTGAAGACATAGCGTTGAGCCCATTGCTCGGCGTTGGCGCGGCTAGCGGCTAGGCTTTGGAGGTCGCTGTTTGGGACGCCGAGCATGAGCTCGATACCGGAGTTCCGGAGGGCTTCAAGAGCTTCCTGGTTGGGATCGTACAGTCGCATTCTCCTGATGTTGTTGGCTCTGTAAAGATCCACCACCTCGCGTTTGGATGGCAGATTGTTGCCCATCATGCCATAGCAAACACCGATCTGAGCATCTGCAAATCCCGCAAAAGTTTGTTTATGTAAAAGTCATCATCGGCAAATTTTGGTTTTAATGAAAGAAAGTTGACTTCTGCTTCAAAGAAAAAGAAAATCCACTGTACTGATTATCTCCCAGAATGGGAGCTATGTGGAGATATACTTTTACCTCTAAATCAATGTAATTTCACGAGTTGATAATATATGAACAAATGTCTGTCAAAGAAAAGATTTTTAAGTAGATCCAGGGCACATATATGTCAAATAAACATAAAAATTGCCTTTCATATTTTGGTTCAAATAGAGAATTGATTTGTCAAAAGTAAGAAAAATCCCAGTACAATGTCTCCTTGGCAAAGGTTCTCGGTTATTAGCTGACACATACAAGTTTTTTATGGCTGAATATACAATTCATTATTGAGTGAATAAAAGAGGGAGATGGATGGATCACCTGCGATGCGAAGAGTTGCAGTGAACAGCGCCAACAGGAGAAGTAGAGAAGGCAATGAGGCCCTCTTGCCAGTTTCGGAGAAAGAAGCCATAATGTCCAAAGACATCAGAAGTATTCACAATGGCTCTGATCTCTTGATCTCGCTCTTCTTATACAGAACGCATCCGAGAGCTTATTATTGATGGCCAGTGGCTATTTTCACATTAATGTGCAATAATATAGCAGTCTATGTTTACCAATTCAACGTGCGAAGTCATGCCTCTCACTTCAATTACTTTCAAAATATCTTATCCTTTTCTTGTTTGATTTCAATTGGTGAGTTGTCGGGGTAGATGTCATGTCTCACTCGAAATGTGATGCTTTCCGCCTCTTCATAATTAATCCTACAATGTCCTATATCCTATTGACGGAGCCATAAGTCTAATAAACTCATAAATACTTTAAGGTGATTAGTTCTAAGTAAACAATACAAATGAATGCATATTCGACGTATAAAATTAGCTAGAGATCGGTATTGACAATCTCATCAAATTATTTCAAATTAAGACTGAACTGCTCCATTTTTATGTCTCTTTTTTTCACTTTTTACGACCCCTAACGCTAAGGTTTGATGTCCTTTCTTCGACTTCAAAATGATTAGATTAAGGAACATCCAAAAATTGGGGTTTTCTAAATGATTAATATATATATGAATGAATTGGAATTTGATAAGAACTCGTCATTCTTGCTTCTCGGATATTCCAAGAACTTATTATAGTCTAATGAATACCATGCGATCAATCGGATTCACTCATATTCAGTTCTATTTTTTCACTTTTATTGTTTTTTTGGATAAAATATATTTGTTCACTGTTAACTTTTGAAGTCTTGTATAAAATCTAATACAAAAACCAAAAGAAAGGAAAAAAAACAGGACTATTGTTTTTTTGTTAAAAAAAAATTGAATGATCTTTCAAAGACGCATCAGTGACTTGATTTATTTTAACAACGCACTGATGTTAATGAAAACGAAGTTAGATTAATGGTTGGTGAAGAATGAAGAATAATAAGGAGTTGGAGTGCGTACGTGTGAGGTCAATGGAGGCTCCCATAACAAAATGAATGGAAAAGATATAACTTGAAAACCTGGGAACCTCGACTTAATCGATAATATATACCACAATTTTCTTGTCCATTTTCAAATTTTGCCGTCAATATATATACTTGCCACCCAGATTGAGTGTTTTGACTAGCTACTCAAATTCAAGTTTTTTAGCTCATTCTTCAACTTGATGCAGCCACATGGCGATGGCTCTCCCCCGTACATGCACAAGTTAGTCAATATTTTAATTTGTAAATCAAAGTATGATAGATATGCAAGATATCTCATTGATCCATGCATGCAGACATAATTAAGAATTTAAGATATATATAATTTGGCAGAAATAGAAAAAGAGATGCAATTTGTTTTTCCCCTGTAAATTTACAGTTGCCAACTGTGATATGTAATTAATCTGAGTTAATTAATGTAAAAATAACTCTTTTTTATGTATAAATCTGCACGGTTTTTTATAATGGATCTTTTATAAACTTATGAGGGATAGAATTAATAGTACCTGTACGCGAGCCAGTCAAATACATAAAATTTATTAAAAAATTGACAAACAATTTATGGAAGTCTATCCAAAACCATGAAAGGGACTCGAGCGAAGTTTCAAATCTGATTGGTAAGACGGACCAAACTTGTAAGTCCTGTGGACTGAAACAACTTAGGGCTGCTTTTGCTTTTGATAATTCATTGTGGGGCTCTCATAATAAAACGACATCATCGTGATATATAAAAATACAATGTGGGCATTAATTATATCAGTCCACAGCTATCTATTTTGGGAAGGGGGGGAAAATTAGGTTTTGGACTTTGGGTGCAATGAATTGCCTTATAATGGAGTAAACGCATGCTTCCTACTTTTTTCATGTATACACCACTTGGCAACGTCACTTGTTTATATTTTTCTTTCTTTCAATTTTTTTAATGTTGAGGTCAATGAATTGCATCATGAGTTTAATTTGTTAACTAATAAAGCCACCTCAAAACAAATACTTGTAAGTTTATATGCACAAACTGAAAAAGAAATTAATACTTCCTCCAGTGTCCTCATTATAAATCAGTTGTAGAGGAATAGTTTGATTCAAAATATAAGGCACTTAAAGAGTAAATAATACTTATTCGCCAATTTTGTTTCTCTATTGATTGTTAAATGTAATTTCTTACATTTTCCCCTCTCGTTCACAGCATCATTTAACATGGGTAAAATTATTAAAAAAAATTAAGTTGGAACACATTTAATGACTCTAATAAAGTCGAGCTCGTATGTGAAAATTTTAAAAAATAAATAAAAAATTATAGAAGAGCCACCATGTCGTGTTCATAATTTATAGATAAATAAGGTCAATTGTGATTATTATTATTATTAGTTTCATTGATTATATTCGCGCTTTATGATTAAATATTTCCATAATAGTGAGGTTAGAGGCTTATGTAAAAGCATCAGCCGCCGCCGGCGGCGTCATTTAAATATATACAATTGCCGTCACAATATATAAACCATATAATTAATTTGCGAGGACGCCGAGCCAGTTGGCACACGTGCCTTCGTGTTAAAAATCGTCCGATTTGCTAACAAAGGTTTTTCTAATTAGAAATAATCAATTACAAATTTTACAAAATATAACATACCCATATTAAAGGAAAAATAAAAGGACAAAGTTATTTTCGTGGGAAAAAAAATAAAGGAGACAAGACAAGTAGATCATTGTAGTCCACATGTGGACAACTTGGAAAAATAAGAATAAATAGTGTTTTGTCACATACATTGACGCGGTTTGAACCTTCCTACTATCAATCCATCTTATCCTACTATCATAAAGATGGAACTGCCTTGTAACGACGTTTCCCAGAAAGCGATGCCCATAACACGCACGCACGCACACGTGTGTGTGTATATGCGCGCGCGCGTCTAGCTGCAGAGACTCACTAAGATCAGTTTTTAAGTCTAGAGGGTACTTAAAAAGATACTTAGAAATTATCAACTAACAAGATTCTTATATTAGTAACAGAATTTGAATTTATAATCTTATAAATTATAAATCGACTATTTCTTAACTAGACTAATTCTTGTTGGTTTTACCAACCAAATAATTATTAAAGCATTTTCTAATTTACTCAAGTCCTATCTCATCCAATTAGCCACATCAACTTGAAATATAAAGCCCAAATACAATTGTGGCCCTTTTCTTTGATTTTGGGCTTTCTTTTGCATTCATTTGCGCCTCAATTCAATAATACCTCGATGCCGTTAATTAAGGCCAGTATCAACAAGTTCTTTGCCCAAGTTTAAACACGCCTCTGCCTCATCGCATCAACATTTACCTGTGACAATGAAATTATGCGTGGCCAGAGAATGAGTCATATTCTTATTTCCTATGTACTTCCATTCACACGCATATTCATAAACATTTATTCTTTCATAGCCAATCAATTCCTTATGAAACTACAGGGATTAAAACCAAACTTTAATTATAAACTATGTAGAAACAGGAATGCTTATCTTCTCTGGATCTCTCTAACTCAAGCGATCATCGGTGCCCTCGCCGTGTAAAAGAGGGATTCTGCGTGGATTCGTATATTAAAGACATTCAAACGGCAGACACTTCATTTTTATTCGCATTCGAAATTACACATGTGGGAGTATTTGTCATGTATCAATACTCAAAACCTTATTCATTAACTACTATCACTCTTAAGGAAGCGTTATGTTATACTCCTCTTACCCTAAATATAATACCTATTTTATAGTGTAAAATGAGTCTTTTATTTAGGACGGGAGTATATTATATGTGCATCAATTTTAGAGCTCTTTTACGCCCCAAAACCAAAGGGGTACTTCTTCTGCATGCTGGGATGAAACAGCCCAAAATGTTTCTCCAGTTCTGGGTTCTTCTGGTTCTCATCGAACATTGCGAAAACATATGTCTCTATAGGTCCAGGCCTCATCGGAGTGCCTCTGTTAACATGTCGAATCAGATTGTCCAGGTACGTCCTTGCATTATCGTACGTTGCGGCAAACGCCCCATCAGAAGGCCACCCACTCTCCGACACGACCACCTTCACATACCCAATCTTCGTACTATCCAGAGCTGCGTGAACCGAGTCCAACAGGGCATCGAACAGGTTCTGGTACCCCCTCGAACCGTCCTGTACCACCACGTTTGGAGCAGTGAACAGAGCATATTGCTGAGATATGTCACGAGGGTTATCGGCATAGCTGAAGTAAGGATATACATTAGCCAACAATGGTGCGTTTGCGTAGACCAAGTAGCCTATGATAGGGTCCAAGTATGATCGGACGTCGTTCCGGAAGCTACCTTTGGACGGAGGGTACGAGGTCCCTACGAGGCTCGTGTCAATGGCGGTTGAGACCTTGATTTGGTCCTGAAGGCCTCTCGCCCTTATGGCTTGGTACACGTTCTGGACCGCGCGAAGGACGTACGGCGAATGCTCTCTGTTGCGTCCGACGGGGTTCACTTCGTTGCCGACGGCGATGTATTTGATGTTGACGGAGGGGTAGTAGTTGAGAACATTGCGTTGAACCCATTGGCGGGCGGCGTCGGCGTTGTTGGCTAGGCTCTGAAGGTCGCCGTTGGGGACGCCGAGCATGAGCTCGATGCCGGAGTTTCTGAGAGCTTCAAGAGCTGCTTGGTTGGGATCGTACAGTCTCATTCGCTTGATGTTGTTGGCTCTGTAAAGATTCACAACTTCGCGTGGGGATGGCAGATTGTTGCCCATCATGCCATAGCAAACACCGATCTGAGCATCTGCTTGACGTAGAATTAAGTTTGTTAAACTTGTAACTCATATGTTGAATAATGATTTATTTAAGAAAAGTTGATTTCGTCTGTGTCACCATGCATTTTTAACTGCGAACCTTTGGAGTGGGAAAAAACGTTTTGATTTGAAAGATAATTATATTAAGTTGATGGCTTTTATAATTATTCCGTTTCGAAGGAAAGAGAATGTAGAGTGGTGCTTCTATCCTGGAAATAGAGTACTTTTTAAACAATTTCATCACATAAGGATCAAAATAAATAAGT